ATATTATATGTTATGGGTTGTTGAAACGTGCACACATCACTTTAAAGTTACGCTTAAAGACCTCCGACGTGACAGGCGGTCACAAGGTAATTTTGAGATATTCATTTTTGTACTCAAGAGAAGAAGTTGTGTTTAATTGTAAATTTATTTGTCCTTGTTTTCACAGGGTTAAAAGAACATTTATGACAATTGCAAATGTCAATAAATGTGCCCGTATTCGAGAAACCGTGTGCAGCGATGTCATTGAGGAGCTACACTAACCGTAACCGCTGACCCTGCTCTAGGGGGCCGTGTGTCGGAGGGTGCAAAAGGGTGGTGGGTTTTTAACGTTTGCATTGTGTGTGTGTGTTTTTAGACTTTTTATGCATGTTCAGTGTTTTTATTTGGTTGATTTGTACCACCCGAAGCACCCCGGCTCCCCACGTGATGGACAATCAAGACACCTGCACCTTGAGCATAAAAGCGGAGATGGGGCCCAGGTTGTGGACAAGGGACTGAGCCTCTGGTTTTAGCTTAGGTTTTTGTTGTTTTTTTAATTATTTTACTTTTTTTGAACTAAATTGTTTGTAATTTGTTTTAATCCAGTGGTCTCCCTTTTAAACCCGGGACCTCTGACACGTGTACCTTCCGTTCAGTCTATTTTTGTTTCTGACGTGCACATTGAAAAACAAACTCCAGGACTTTACATGAAGAACCATACATGATCTATTATCTGCGTAACCCTATCTACTTTCTTTGTTTTTATTATTTAAAACTGACAAAAAAAATGTCACACACATCCTGATAAATAGTAGTGTACTTTTGTGTTGGCCCCTTAGCCTCAGCCTGATGTCAGTGGCCTCTGGTTTGTTCCACTCTGGACAAAGTGGAGACATGTTGACGTCCGCACAGACCATCACTCAGCGTCACGTTTATTCACTTTGACACGTTTAGATGCTCCATCGCAGACAAGACCCACCATGACCTCCTGCTCACACGGCCACAAGGAATAGGCCACAGTTATACTTTTAAACAGTTTAAATCTATTGACTGCTCTGGGAATTCACCACACTCCAGTGCCAGTGAAAAAGACACCAACAGCGGCAAGGTATAAGTAATAAATGAGTCTGCATTAGTTTGTACACTACTGTCTCAGGCACGTATAGTTCAAGCCGTATTGATTGTGACGAAAATAATCCAGTCAACTCTGCACAGAAGCAACGCTCACGATGGTTCATTATGGATTTATGAATGAATGATGGTGTTGAAGTGGTAAGTGACATCACCAGAGCATGGAGCGGGAGGCAGTATATTTTCTGTTTGATCGGGAGTTTGTTAAGGATGAAGAACAAATCTATAGTATTTTTAATTAGAGGAGTGGGAAGCCCTGAAAATACTCAATAGGTTTCGTTCATGTATAGAGTTCTTTTTCACTTTTAGGGCAGGTGCCGATACAATTTCTATGTTTTTTTCCAGGTTTGATAATGATTAGATTCACAAACTTGCCTAATTATTCTTATGTCTGAGGGTCCAACATTGTGCATATGTTTTGTGAATATTGACACCTTTATGAGAAAATGATTTAGCTATAGTTGATATTTGACAAAGAAGATGTGGATTGGTCCAGGAAACACAAGAAATTAGCTTTACATTTACAAAAGTCTGATTTATCACGGTTACCATAGTTACCAGGAAACATGTTTAAGCTTCCTTCCATCACAATGGTAAACTATAATAACACACAAAAAATCACTAAGAACCCAAGCATGCCTTACAATAGAAATCAAATATTGCAAAAAATATAAAAAATACAGAATAAAATGTATATATATTTTTTCACTTTCTATTACTTTTTAGCACATTTTCTCTTGTTTGCACATTTTCTGTCTCTTGCCCAACCAGGGTGATACTATTCATGCCAAATGTAAAATGTACATTTCTCCACTGTGAGATCAATAAAGTTTAATCTTATCTTATTAAATCTAATTTAAAAGATGACTATAAATATGCTTAATTAAAAAGGTAGGTTGTCGACTGTGATTTGAAAATGTCCAGAGGCTCCAAGTGAATTGTGTGCTACAGAGTTTGTGATGTCACATGAACGCAACTTAAGTAATATATTTTACCTTTAGCCGCACCTGATTATAAGGCACAACTGAATATAATGTGCACTATAAAATTGTGTGTTTATTTTCCTAGATAAAACACAACGGATTACAAGGCGCACTGTAAAAAATGAAAGATTATGTCCATGCCTAATAGTGCCAAAATTACAGTATATGGAAATAAGTTTGCCGGTCAGCTAGACTCTTCTCCCAGTCTTGACTTTTCTCTTGTTTTGCAGGTTAAATTCTTGCAGTGTAACTCTCTCCTATTGACCTGATGCTTCTGGTGTTTGTCATCAGCAGAGGGGTGAGTCAGTGTGCGGGTGAGGCGGTGGGGGGTCGACGCCTCATCTTAATGAAAGTCACAGCAGCGTGGACAGGGAAATAATGGCTTCCAGGAATCCCAGAGTGCGTTCCCAGTTTTATACAGACTTGGAAGAGCCGCTTGGTATGAATCTGTGAGGAGTAATTTTGGCTCTGCTCTCCTACACAGTCACTGGCACTTGGCAAAGAAAAAACATAAAAAAATTCAATCCATTTTCTTACCTCACCAAACTTAAAACTTCTTGCGATTTTTTTCATGGAAGCGCGTTTAACCAGAGAAATGAAAAGACAGCAATATGTACATGGAGTAATCTCGTTTTCTTTAGTATCATCTAACCCTTGTCACCACACTTCAAAAAGAATCAAATTTGAGGAAAATAATTGCTTGAATCGAGTGGTTTTGATCTTATTTTGAGTACATTCTGAATCTTAAAACAAGATTTGCCAATGAGACAAAGCAGTTAAATCTTAAGTATTGTTTTTTTTAAAATTACTTTATTGTGTCATCTTCATCAGCTCACACTCTTTTCCCATAACACATGCAGCGTAACAAGACATTATATTTGCTTCTTGTATCCTTGTTTTCCCCACTATCCACTAAGTATTTTCTTATTCCAAGGGAGAAATGTTTCTTGTCCCAAATCTTGGCAAATCGTGTTTTAAGGCAGTCAAAATGTGCTCAAATTAAGATACATTTTGCAGAATTCGTGCAATTTTAGACTTAAATTTCATAACATTTTGCAGTGCAGTACATTGACCATCTACTTGCATTTATGGATGTGTTAAACTGACAATAAGCGCACACTCAAAGAAATACAGCGTTGGATTCATCTGTAAAAGTTAAGCAGCTTTTTCAACATAAATCTTTCATGTTGGAATATATCAATAAAAATCAATTGACCTCATCAAAAAAATACAATATTTTTCATATTTCTTTAAGTTGAGTTTAACCTTTTTTGTTTTCTTTAATCCGTTTCTACCATTCATTTGTGGCAGCCTCGTCTTGTGTTCTTGGGCAAGACACTTCACCACCATGGTTATACGCCTGGGTGGTAAAGGTAAAGGTGCATTTTATTAATCCCCGTAGGGCAATTCAATCCTCTGCATTTGACCCAACCTGATGCCGCGAAGGCTTAGGTCAGGAGCAGTGGTCGCCGTAGTAACAGCACCAGGGAACCCATCTCCAGATGTTGATGCTCAGCTTGGTCAGGACCGGAGCTGGAGGATTTAACCTAGTGAGCATGTTTTTGTAGTAGGGAGTACCCGGAGGAAACCTACGCAGGCCGGGGAGAACATGCAAACTTCACTCAAAACGACCCTATTCCGACCGGGATTCGAACCCAGGAGCTTTTTGCTGAGAGGCGAAAGTCCACTGCCAATACAGACAGAGAGTGTGTGTGTGAAGGTCTATATCACGGTAACCAACTCTATCATCAACTCATATTGTCTTGTATCGATAATTACTGGGGCATGTGCTAAAATGGACGTAAATATGAAATGATTATGTGCTTACGATTCACTCAAACTAAACCACGTTTTTTTATTTTTTATTTTTTTATTCATATTGGCAATATATAATAATAATGTGATGCTTGCAATTCACTCGGAACACAGGCAATAAAGCAGAGCAAAGAAAAACCAATTACATTTTCCATATAGGGTAATACCAAGACAGACCTATACCGACTTCATAAAAAACCTATACTCTCTCTATAATAAAAACAGACTATTTTAGCCCTTGACCAAAGCCAACCCTGGTGAGATTTGTGTGAAAACTTAAAGACCTTATGACGGGTTTTAAAAAAAAAATAGTGGATATCAAAATTGCATGACAATGTCAATTTGAAAGAGATTCCGGCAAAAAAAAATCCTATATTTTATAAAAATAACGTGTTTTTCATGAATTTAAGTTGTCTATGCTCTAACCTGTGTGTGACGTCATAGCGGGTTACGCCCATGCATTGAAAACCATGGATCTATGCCACAGGACTGCCTTTTCTCTCTTCTCTCCACTGATGCCCAACACAATACTGCCCTCTACAGGTGACAATTGCTCACTACACATAAATTGCCGTTTTGAGTGTGAAAAAGAGTCCATAGTGGGATTTGAACCCAAGTATCTGGATTGGCAGTCCATCGACACAACCACTAGACTATCTCTGTGACAACAAAGTCTTACATTCTAGTAGTTATCTCACACTCGCTGTACACGGCCTTGTCATCTTGAATATCAGCGAAAAAAGAACGAATACCAAATTGTAAACAACTTACAGCGTTGAAACGTACCCGTTCTGACGTCACCAAGGGCTGTGAAGTTTTTTTGTTTCTAAGGGCGTTGCTATGGGGTTATTTTGATTTGGGGGGATCAGACAAAAAAAACAACAACTGATTTTGAAACCTTTAGTAGTTCTCTTCTAATATAAAATGGTATTAAAACTGTATTTCTAAATAAATCAAACCCGTCATAAGGTCTTTAAAGCACGGTTTATCCACAGCAGAGCCCACAGAGGCGGTGGGGGGCTTCGTGCCAAATTATCCGGGGAAAAATTAGAGAACAAATGTAATCGGGCACGCCTGTCCACTCGCACCCACCTAAATCGAGGTCTTCGCTGGGGTCATGCGTCTCCATCCTCTCCATGCACTTCTCACGTTCATGCTTGATTATACAGTGCGTGGACTCCGGGGCCACCTGGAAAAGAGAGAGGGAGGAGAGAGAGGGAGAGAGGCTGGCATTAGGCATGAGAGATTACACTGCTGTGGGCTGTGGTGAAGGAATGCCAAAGTTTACAGTTTATATATGAGTCGTCATTGGGTTTTGACCAATTATTAACCCAATAATGAAATTGTCAATATTGTCTTTCTGTCAGTGGGTTAGGACTAGATCAACATTTTGCTTACTTGGATTTGCCTTTGATACTTTATTCTAGGATCTGTTTTATTGACTGTTATTATTGCTTTAGGCTGACTGTACAGTGCACTGGTTTTGAAAAGTGCCATAAAAGTAAAGATGTATTATTATTATTCTTTATTATACGGCTCCTCACAGCAGCAGTAGAATGCTCCATTGATTTGAATGTAATTTCACACTGTTCTACCGGTCATTATTTTCTATAACGGACCTCTCAAAACAATAATGACCGCTGCCCTTTGGCAACGCTCTCTGTGCTTGTCTTTTAAATGCGTGGATAACTCCGCAAGTAGTTCCGGCCACTCCGCAGCTTGCCACGCTCAATCAACACACTTAAATGTTAATCGGAGAATACTTATACACATACATTTTTAACACACGTGCACGGAAATTTTCAGAATTTTCTGGTCTTGTCTTCATGACAAAAATACTATTTCTCTGCGTCAAAAAGCGATCGTGAAAAACCCGGAAGTATAGTTCCGGCCGCTCAATAAACGCAAATGCCAATCAATCAACGCAATGAAATGTTAATCGGAGAGTAATTTATACATATCCAGTCTTAATACAAGTGCACGGAAGTTTTCAGAATTTTCCGTTTACGTTTTCATGACAAAAACACTGATGTAATGCGAGAAAAGGCGATCCCGAAAAACCCGGAAGTAGATACCGGCACATTTTAAGATACCGGCACATTTTCGGACACATTTGCAGAGGATCAAATTATGGATTTAGGTTAGGTTTATGTATGGGTCACTCACCGCTGATGTTCAGAATTCTTTGTTCAGTTTTCTTGCAGTTCCAGGGAGTTCTAGTTTGGAAGTTGCCAGCCTAACTGTTGCACTTAGCATAGCCACGGGAAAACCTTTGGGAACTATTTTATTTTCTGTCATTAAATAAACCTTTCGGCATTCCTAAAAGTGGACTGAAGTTTATGTTGTGTGTTCTGTTGGTATAAAGCCGTATAATAAGCGGGATAACGTATATTACGCAGCGCGTCGGGGTCCGCTTCGCCCTGTCGGTACTTATTTTCCGATAATGACCTGCGTAATATACGTTATCCCTTACATATTATAATTATATTTTCATTCATGTGGCCATAATTGCATGCAAAAGCCAAATCCCGTCAGCCTGCTGAAGCTTAGTACTGTGATGGGAGACCTCTGGGAACACTAGTTGCCACAGTGGGGCGGCTGCGGCTGTAAAGTGCCAAACTGTCATTGTGTCCTTAGGTAAGACCCACATTTACCCACATTGCCTAGAATGAGTCTCGTGTGTATGTGTTTGTGTGTGTGGTGGTGGTGGTGGTGGTCGGAGGGGCTATTGGCATATAATAGTTTCCTCGCTTCTGTCAGTTTGCCCCAAATCAGCTGTGGCGACAATAGTAGTGTATCACCACCGTGTATGGAGTGAAAGAATAATGACATCTGAAGCGTCTTTGCGTGTCCTGAAAACCAAATAGAAACTACACGAGCAAATCGCATGTATTAGTGTCGTGCAGTGTGGTCACAGAGGCAGATGTAATCCAGTGCTATCGTCAGACATAGCTCCCTCCATCTTAAGGTGGGTGTGTAGTCTGTGGCTCCTTCAGGTCTCCTCACTCTCAGAGCTGACGTGGTGTAATGTTTTCCAGCCCTGAGTACGATGGCTGACTCATCACTCCATCACATCAAATTGTGAACATGTCTCAGGACTCACTTTATCGCTGTATATGGATATTAGCAGGCAGAGAGGACGTGAGCATTTACTGCATGCTAACACCTCCACATAATTGTCTATTTGTGTTTTTCTGATTGCTTTGTAGAGAATGTATTGTAGTATACGTGAACGGTTACTTTACTGCATGTTATTATTGTAACGACTTTTTAATGCTATTTTCTTTAGGGAGACTGTGTACACCTGTCCAGAGATTGCAGATAAAACATAGCCTTCTTCGCTATTTCTGGTGCATTTACAGAATTGTTTTATGAAAGCACAATATCCCTCTCAAATAAACGAAATAAAATCAATAATAAAGAAGAAACATTTTCCAGCTTTTGCCAAATTCCTGTGAACATAGGAACATAAAGTAGGTTTTTTTTTGACCAAAGACTGTTTACTTCTTTGTTATTCAAATCTGCAATTAGCTGTTGTGATGTTGAGCTTTACAACCATTGATTCGAATGTATTTACTAATCCGCAACGTAAATTGAGTTTTTGATTGTAACTATGGATTTACAAATGAAGCTCCACCTCGCTGGAACTGCACGTTACGCAGAGGGAAAAGCAATAAAACGTGCATGCATTGGGGAAGTGCAAAGATAAAATCAAATGGGAGAGTCCAATCTGACGGTCCTGTTTCTACTCAGTGGTCCTTGAAGCCCTCTGATGACGCATGTCCTGATTCACCACACCGTGAATGTAAATTGTAGCGTGTAGCCAGGTCCCAAAGGTTTACCTCATCCAATTTTAGGATCATTGAAGTTATCATATATGATAACTTCATATGTACACAAACAAATGGAAGGACTATCTGCAATACATTGAGAATACCAGGAACGGAGTGACTTTACATAAAATCATATAAGTCAGAGCTCTTCAAAAATGGCACACTACCATATGGAGGGATAGGAAGTCACATACCCTGTCTGTATCTCCTACTGTAGAATTCTATAGTGCACTTAAGGACAACTTAAAAAAAAACAAGAAATGTCCCCGCTCAATGTTCCCTCCTTTGAAGAGCTCAGACATGGCAATAATGTTACAAAGCTAATTGTGTAGCCCACTGCCTTCTTTATTATTATTCTTTCTTATTTTATACATTTTTATGTTTTCTATGTTTTTTTCTCTTTTTCTTTATATTTGTTATTTATTTATTGGTTCTTTTATTTCCTGTTTTTTTCTCTTTATTTCTTTATTCATTTATTTCTTTATTTTATTATTATTATTATTATTATTATTAACTTTATATTTATTTTTGCTTATTTTCTGCCCTCATGGCCTCTTATTCTATGTTAGTTTTATTTTTATTATTATTTTTATTTTTTCTAAAAACTGTGGTCATACTGTCTGTAAAACGCTTATTGATTAATGTATGACTGCAAAAGAAAACCAATAAAATACAAATGACAAAGTTATCATATTTCAACAATATTCCCTCATAACCCTGGGGGAATTATGAGAAATTGGGAAAGCAGCAGTAGCACACATAAAACATGCTTCTAAGTTTGTGCGTCTTGGCCACACCGAAGTACTGATTAACTGATTCGGTGTGGCTCCCAGTACTTTTACTTGTTTGTAAAGTCCTCCACAGCCCCGTGCCTTAATGCTGTATATATTTCTGTTTTACTTGTGCCTTGTGAACTTGTGCATAGATCCTCAGACCTTCGCTCGTAGATTACAACATGTTTTAGATTGTTTCCTGTTTATGATACATGCATGTGTTTGTATCAGCTGAATCCGTCTGTCTATCTATCTGTCTTTCTGTCTGTCTGTCAATCTATCTGTTTAAAAACAAATGTAGTTCTTAAATTTAATTTATTGAGAAGCATCTGAGGAAGACGGAAGTTACGGCAGTTACGGTAATGAATGTAAGTATTAGCATTGCTTTCTTACAATTGTCTGTAAGAAAACCACCTCATTGAATCTACAAAGAATACAAGAAACAGTTCTCAAAATGTGTTAACCAAACCTTCCAAATGTTGCTGTCTCTATCCAACTCATTTCAATTTAATTTATTTTTGTATCAGCTCCGAACCACCACAGTAATTATCTCGGAGGACTTTACAAAGTTGTCGATTCCCCAACACAGATCAGGGAATCAAACTGTTCAAAAACACAGGTACTGCAACAACAAAAACCCCAAAGAGCCATTGGTCCATGTAGAGGCGGGTGACCAATGTCCATAAATGTCTCAAATGAACATTCCCTGTCTCTGGGGCATTTCTGACATTTGTATCCATCGCTGCCGACCTCTGTGTTGCTAAGCAGCAGGTGACTCTTCAGGAGCCAGTGCGTTCTTTTGTAGACGTGGAATAATTCGATGCAGATGACTAATATACAGAGTGCCTTGTACGCTGCACCACATATAGGTATAAATGAATATTATACTTTAGATTGAAAAGCCTTGTTTGCGGACGTGTGTTTAGTGTTTATCCTGTCTGAGTGGGCTCTGCTTCTGAGTGGGTGGATGTTTGGACGCGACAGCTCATGTTTTAAGATTATTTTAGCGTTTTTGTTTTGTTTTGTCACACACACAGGCTGGATATGTGGTGTTTTACAGTATCATAGAGACTGACTTTCCTCCAGATATTATCATAACACACACACGTATCACACAAAGTAATATGGTCTCATTGCAACAGCATAACCAATCAAATCAAGAGTCTATAAGAATCAAAATGACCAAATAATTTACAAATACAGTCATGGCTGAAGGTCTACATCCTCTGGCAGAAATCTACATTTAGGGATTTGAAAATGGTGAATGATAACGCAAACATTTTCTATTTTTAAATGATATTGACAACACAAATGAGCCTAATAAGAAGTTTATATCGAATCTAACATCTATGTCATCCTCTCTGATGGTCAAGCTGTCCAACTCAAAAATCCAAATTAAGCACGGGAACCAGGAAAACAGACAAACAAAGACAGACAAAGACAAAGCTAAAACAAAACCACAGAAGAACTTAGGTAAAAATTAAACCAAGAACAAAAATAACAACATCATTACAGTTTCTGCACCTACACTTTGTCATTCAACTTAGGAAGAACGAGTTTACTTATTGAGTCGAGGCCGTTTGTTTTTCGACCCCTGATCTCATTCTGCAGTGTGGTCACTTAGCCTAGTGTTTGCTGCTTTCCCAAACAGATGTCTCTCCAGATACAGCCATTCTATTTTGACCAGTCCAGACCCTGGCTCCTGCCCCGGGGCTATTTCCGAAGGCCTGATAACGAGTTTCCCATGGCACTGCGGCACACTGATAATAAAAAAGTGAGGTTTGACGTGGCACTCTGCTGGCCCCCGCGTTTATTTCTCTCTGAGAGACAATAGACACGGCATCAGTGGACCAGGTTTACAGTCGCAGAAGGTCAGGTACCACTCTGTGCGTCTGTGTATCAGTCTGCATATGTCAGCACTGCAGGAGGCACAGGGGCGGACTGTTGTGGCAATAAGGGGGATTACATCATATTTGTGTGTGTGTGTGTGTTGACCAATGGTGTTGACCAAATAAGTAAGTAAGTAGTAGTAAGTAATCTTTATTTATATACCGCCTTTTCACTGCACATCAGAGTCTCAAAGCGGTTTACAATTGTGATTTTTTTTTGGGATTGGGGTCGCCAGTACAGGAGGCACATGCCAGATCTATTGTACATATTTTTAGTGGTAGGGGAAACCGGAGTACCCGGAGGAAACCTACACAGACACGGGGAGAACATGCAAACTCCACTCAGAAAGGCCCTGGTCCAACCGGGATTCAAACCCAGGACCTTCTTGTTGAGAGGCGAGAGTGCTATCTACTCAGCCACCGTGCCTATAGCTATAATCTCCTTCCCAGTATTGTAACTAATGATTATTTGGATAATTTATTAATCGAGCAATTATTCTTGGGATTCATAGATTTTCTTCGTATTGTCTCCCAGTTTAACACAGATTAAGTAATGTTTATTTATATAGCACATTTTACAGACCAAGGTCACCCAAAGAGCTTTACAATGTTCAGAGTTCAGTTATTGTTCCAATCTCTCCACATTCGGTGATGACGGAAGCGAGTCGCCGAACACACTGGACCATCAAAGCCTCCAATCAACACCATCCATTCACTCTCTCATCTACATTCATATCTATTGTGCATGTTTAGGTAGGAGAAACCGGAGCACCCGCAGGAAACCGGAGCAGACACGGGTAGAACATGCAAACTCCACTCACATGTTGTTCCAAACCAAGATTCGAACTTCTTGCTGAGAAGCGAGAGTGCTATCCACTCATTCACCGTGGTGAGTGGCTGAAGTTAAGCTGAAGTAAAGCCTCCAGAGACATTCTAATAGAACATTTTATCATTAAAAACAGGATTTTAATGCAACCCCAATTAAAAGAGAAGTTAACATTTCTCAATTACTAAAATAGTTGTTTATTATTGATATAATCTGAAAAATCTAAAAATGATGTAATGATTCTTACTTAATGACTTACTTATTTATACTTACTTACAGAACTGCTATAAACGTAAAGCATCCAATTATAAATACAACTAATGGATAAAAAAATGAAACCAAAACACTGAATTTTTGACTGAATTGTCTGTGACTTCTGATGTTGCTGTTTCCTAAAGTAATCTGTGTAATTTTAAATGAATAATTGCTTGACATTTTGGGGCTAATACCTCATAGACCAATCAAACAACTAAAATTCTGAAGCGTAACGACCCTAGCTCTGATATTTCTGTATTATTCTGATGATAATGTTTACAAAATATTACAACAATCCATCAGAAATGTGTGTGGACGCCTGCTGCGGTGAAGAACATGATGTCACATTGGAATGATCCCTGCAGGCACCTGTAGTGTTCCCTTTGGAGGAAAACGCTCAAATCTGAGTTTGAGATTCCTGTTTCATGTCTTCTGTAATTGAAACATGACTGTCGTGAATAGATAATTGTTTTTCAATTTTCACATTAGTGATGTCACAACACTACAATTACAAACTAGATTTTGATTCTAGTAAATAGGCCCGATACTTGATACCAATTTTGATACAACAGTTATTTAAAAATGTCTTTCCTTGGACAAATATCTGTCATTTTTGGTGCTTCAAAAACATTGTAAAGCGCTTTGGGTGACCTTGGACTGTGAAAGATTATAAATAAAGATTATAGTATTTATTTTTACGAAGACCTCATTGTAGAGCTTTCATTGTGCTGTTTTTATATTTCTCCAGTATTTCATTTTCCAGTATTAATACATTCTCATACAAAGGTGAAACACGGAAAATGGACTAGAGTTCAAACTGACAGACTCATTACATGCAAAGTGAGATATATGAAACCTTTATTTGTTCTAAATAAGTATGGCTCACAACATGTAAAAAACCCCCAAATGATAATAACAATAATACAAAAATATATATATTTTGAAAATGGACTGTAAACCTTTATTATCAATATTTTAACAAACAAAGGCATATGTCACTTTGTAGGTAATGAGTCTATATCAGTGGTTTCAGATTAAAGGTCTTTCCTTCCGGTACTGTCAGACTGTACAATGAAAACTGCTGAGTCTGTACATGTCATCTCATCAGTAACTAGTCAATACTACAGTTAGGTGCAAAACTGCAATTTCAGAATGCTCACAGAATTTCACTTAATCTACTTTATTTATGCCATATTGCACTAACCTACACTATCTATGTATCAATAAATAATAATACTGGTAATAATAATAATGCATTGGTTTGATGCAGCGCTTTTCAGGACACTCAAAGACGGTTATACATGTCTATAAATACATAAATATCTTTCTTATATAAAGAAATGTGACCTTGATATAAGTTTTATTATCAATTAATATCTGTGTTTTTGATTCTTTTTACAACTGTCTGACATTTGTAACTATTTACAACAGGGTCATGCTACATTTTAGATGCGTTGCTAAAGAAAATACTTTGCTGTTACACAGTTCCACTCAGCTCTGAACATTCCATTACAAGTGGGATTTACGGAGAGGTTTTTGGAAGAACAAACCACTGTCCAAACTGTAATGAATGGATATAAACAAATGGACAATGTTAAAGTTGACTTGTGTTTTGTAAACAGATGCAGCTGGGACCAGTGACCACAGGAAGCCAGCGCCAGTTTATATTGATTTAATCCTGAATAGTTCCGCCCACACTTCCTGGACACATTTTGATCCAGTTTATTTTCCATCTTTTATTGCTCGAAGATGAAAAAGGCAAATGTAAGTGAAGGGCAGCAGATGGACAGGCGTCTCTGCGGTCCCCCAGGCCATCTGTTATGTTTAGGACCAGAGCTAACAAAGCTAACCAGGCTAACCTCATAGATCTATAATCATAACTGGATAGAGTAAAACTAGCAATAGCTGATTCACCCATGGGCTCGGGGGCTCACTGCCATACTGCAGAGAAATAAGACGAAATTCACATGAAATTCACATGTTTAGAAATATACCAAATCATAAACCTCACATTATGCTCTGTCAATGACGTTTTTCTATTTTGTTTTAGTATCTATTTTTCAGTATTAATAAATTTTCATATACAGGTGAAACTCAGATAATGAGACTATACTGCTCATACAAATAATTTGCCAAAGCAGGTTGTACAGCCAGTTGGTGTGTGTATATTTCCTTCTAACTGCATGTGCAGTGGAGCACGGAGTGAAGTAGGCTGATCATCCTTCTATAAATTTTGTTTTACATAAATGTTTAGAAGGCTAATAAGACAAGAAGACTGTCCTCCTTTTGAGACCTAACATTTTGCAGCAGGTGGCATTCTTAAGATATGAGTTAATTCTCACATTGGCAAGAATCACAAGATGTGAACTGACTTCTCCAGACAAAATGTACAGACCTCTATTCTGAGAGAAACAGTCTTGGATGTGGAAGGGGTTCTGTGAAGTTGTTCAAGACCTGCGATAGATATGTTTTTGCTTTTCTGGAAATGTCGATCAGTTTAATTTAAAACATGCTCATCCCTAAAGTGCTTTTACAGTGAGAAGACTCTCCTCTCCCCACATATAATTTGTAACTTAGCCAAAAACATACTTTATAAATATTCAGGCAAAACAAACAACATAGAGAAAAAGCCACCACCAAGATACTTGAGTGCATGGCATTTGTGCCCCCTCCGCTCTTTCCCAAAGCCGTGTGGACTCACCAGGGGCAGCAGAAGGAGGGCGGTCAGCAGGAAGAGCCTCATCGTCTGCTTTGATGTATCCTCCGAAAGTTAGTGTCTCAGTATTTGTTTCTTTGGTGGAACAGTTGCCGTCACTTCAGCAGTGAGGGCCCTGAAAAATAGAGGGATGCAAAGATTATTTAGGGGAAAAACAAAAATGACCAAAATATATGGACATATATAGACAACATTTGTTCAGACCCATTTATACCGAAAGCAGTTCAAAATGCTAAACAAGACAAGAAAGGAAACATGCCAGGCGATTCATAATAATAACGTGCTACGGATTAAAATACATTAAAACAAAACAAAACAAAAGCATCAGAAGTGCATCGATACATCAAAAAATCCTGAAGGGGTTCAAAGCCCATAAAATCCCCAATAGGCCTGATTGAAAAGGTATTTAGGCCTCTTTTAAAGTGGGTGCAGATCGAGCGGAGGCGGTGTGAGGTGGTGTGTGGGGCGAGGAGCTCTGTGAGGTGGGCGGGGGGCAGTTCTGTGGATACATTGGTGTTTATATTGGATTCTGTGTTGGAGGGGGAGCCAGTGGAGCCAGTGTAGGACAGGGGTGATGAGGTCAGGACCTGAGCCGCACAGTTATGGATGTGATGGAGCTTTTGCAGACTCTCGGGCCGGGATCCCGACGAGGAGAGCGTAACAGTAGTCCAGTCTGGAGGGGATAAAGGCATGTCCCAGTTTTTCTGCATCACGTTGAGAAAGGGATGACCAAAGTTCTTGCAATTTTTTTAGATAGAATCATAAATAATCGGAGTAAGTTAAAAAGAGTGAAGCGACAATCCGAGCTGGTTCATACGGCACTAACATGTCACTGATGTACTTTGGTTCAAAGACATGGAGAGAATTAGTTTGTATTTTTCATTATTCAAGACAAAACAAGATTTTTTATGTTTTTATGCAAAGCTGCTTTAACCTCTTAACATTTTAAGTACAAACAGTGAAATACGCCTTCGCCACAAGCAGAGAGTACGTTATTAAACTGCCACGCTCTTGTTGGCTAAATCACAAACATTATGCGTCGGGTGACAATAGGACAAACACAGGATGTATTACGATTGTGAAAATGTTCTCTTAAAGAAGAAAAGCATTTATCAAAGAGTATTTTATGTTTTTTATATATAATCTAAAGACCTCTATAACCTTCAGGACACATAAGGCAATCTGGTATTCCATTCACGTTGTGTCAAATCACAAATATTTATACATTAATACATCTATAGTCAATGTTGTCATTAGATGTTTGGCCAAAATGAAAGCTTCTTCATATAAAATGGATCCAATTTTTTTTTTTTTTACAAATCCTAGTTAAATAATGGGGCGTGGAAGTAGCTGGTAACATTAAAACATGTCTGTATCTGACCTAAACTACACTCACCAGATTTTAAAATTAAAACAATAACATAATCACTATAAATATTGATGACATTTGTGAATAGAGAGTTTTAAAATAGGCGTGGACAACAAAGCAAACACCACAACTCAACTAATTTGCTCCATGACATTGAACCCTAATACACCCAATGATCGTGTCAAAGAGGGCACTTTATTGTTGAATGTGAGGAACTTTTTTTCCAAAAAAGTTTCAAACGCCATTCAAAAAAACAAGAAATTCAAGTTTGGAAGGACACCTGGAGAGAAATAGATTTGTTTTTTATTTCATTGCCATGTGAGAAACAAGAAGTCACAAACTAGAAAATTGCTTTGGCTGTTTGGCAAGTTCAAAAATAAAGAATAGAATAAGGCATGCCTATAGCGTCAGCCAGAGAGCCCCATTAATTTAAACGAGTAAACTAGAGTGGTCCAAAAAAATTCACCCCCCTCAGCATTGACACACATGTGGAACGGAGCTTTGGGCCAAGAGCCAACTTTTGGACCATCCTGTAAAGACGTTTTACGAGAGGTAAGAAGTTGATATGTTGGCATTGGCTAATTCTTATTCCGGGTCCACCCCCATCGGCCCGGGGTGGTATTGCAAGCATGTGGGCGCACATCATTTTGGCCACTTTTGAGCCGGGACCCGCCCTCACTGGATGCAGCCCCGTAAAAGGATATCTCAATCTTAATCTTTGTTATAATGAGACATTTCCTACATAGGGGAACACAAAGCACCTCACAGTCCACACCACAAAAAGTAGGAGTGTGACGATAAATCGATATAACGATATATCGTGATACTTTCTCCCACGATCTATTATCAATATGCATTTGCCAAGTATCTAATTTTATTTTATTTTTTCAACAACAACAAAATTAGTATCAATACTTAATATACAGTATGGCTACATTACGCATCTCCATTCCATTTATCATGAAATAAAGTGTATTTTTTCACTCAACATTTTTCTTTTATTTATGCCATGAATTGAAATATGGTATATTTCTGACCAATATATCGATAATCGTCATAGTGTCGCATCGTGAGCTTTGTATTGCATATCGTATCGTATCGTGAGGTACCCTTAGGTTCCCACCCCTAACACAAAGCACAAATCATCACATAAAACACCAAAATCACCATTGAAAACACAATAACAATCACACATGTAATTAAAACCATTAAAACAATACAATCACAATAATAAATATTGTATCGTACTTCTAATCAACGCTGCTCTCAGAATAGAACCCACAACCTGAACTTCAAGACCACTCAGCTGTATATAAGAAAACACATATTGATTGTGGGCTGTTTGTTAAATGGAGATCTCTCTCTTGGGGCTGAGCGCTGGTGCTAAAGGCTCTGACACGCAAGAATGTGACACAGAAATGTTGTGTACCACGGCAACACTGAAAATCATCTCAGGACTCAAGGGAAAATCAACGGCGAGAGGGGAAAACGTATTTACATGTTTCTGATGAATATGAATGAAGCAGATGAGCAAGTCCCAAACGATCCATAACAAAACATTAGCCTGAAATACTGATAGAAAATAAAAACATAATGACATGTAAGGTTAAATGACTCTGTATTCCTTTATTTATAACAATAACAGTAAAATAGAATGAAATGAATTAAATATATTTAAACAAATCCCTTTGAAGGAGGAGTGCTGAAGTACATCTTAATTTATATTATTTATTTAATCTGAACATGTTTTAAGAAAAGTGCAGGCAACATAAGATTTTTTTCTTCTTTCTGCTCCTTTTCATTTCATGATAAGAATACAATAGGAATCTGCTGCAGTACATTTACCCACTATATTTACGGCAATAACAGTTCTAGATTGTTCCACCAGACCAGACTGCTGTGAGACCTACTGTATACTGTAAGAGTTATTATTACATATTGAGGTGGTCCACACTATTCCGCACAGGGGTATCGTTTATATTTGGCTCATTGCTCTGAAAAATGTATATCTGTAAAAAATAGCAATATACTGTAGGTGCTATTATAGTTGCTATAACCAATCAGGGCAGATGGGACTTATATGTACATTTAATGCTACTAATATTATATTACTATAATATACTACCTTTATTTTTATGTGTCATTCTTCAAATGGCCTTTAAGCTTGAATTTATGTTGTTCATTTTCCGCAAATTACGGTATTAGCGACTCAAAACAAAATTGTATGAACTCACCATTCTCATCACAGCAAACTCAAAGCTCCAACTTCTACTAGTAGTAGTAGTAGTAAGTAATCTTTATTTATATACCGCCTTTTCACTGCACATCGGAGTCTCAAAGCGGTTTACAATTGTTATTTTTGTGTGGGGTCGCCAGTACAGGAGGCACATGCCAGAACTATTGTACATATTTTTAGTGGTAGGGGAAACCGGAGCACCCGGAGGAAACCTACGCAGACATGGGGAGAACATGCAAACTCCACTCAGAAAGGCCCTGGTCCAACCGGGATTCGAACCCAGGACCTTCTTGCTGAGAGGCGAGAGTGCTATCCACTCAGCCACCGTGCCTATAAACTACACACACACACACACACACACACACACACACTGCTTTAGCAAGGAGTAATAAAGACATACTGAGGATTCCAATTCAAACAATCATTGATTAATACATATATATATATAACTCCGCCTGAACAGTGATATGTCTGTGTCTTTTGATCATGGCAACAGTTGCTAAGGAAGCTCCTTGTAGCCGGCTCTTAGCTCATAAAGTAGTCTCTTTCCTCAAACATGTTTTTTGTGTAGAGAAGCTGTGAGATGGAGCAATGCGTTTAAACCATACAACTGCACTTGTCCTTGTTGTTAAATCCTTGCTGAATAAGAAAGAGCAATAAATCAGACTCTCAAGCAGAATTTAAATCGAGTCAAAGAATGAAACCAGGACTAGTAAGTACACAAGATCTAATTTAACTGTGTAATTCCACCAGTTTTGACGTCAAACCAAATTTGATCTATTATTGTCATGGTGAGAGTTTAAAATATCACAATCTAAATCAGGATGTCTGCAGTGGTTCATAGCACACACACACACACATCACATCTTCATATCCCAGCATGCAGCAGCGGCAGCACTCACTCACTCAAAATCTTCAGAGTGTCCCTTCCCACTAGACGCAAATCCAATTACTCCTAAAGCATCTCCAGGACTCTTTATGGAGTAATAGGACGCGGCCGATTGAAGATGGAGGCAGCTGACATGAGAGGGCTGAGATGACATGTGTCCAAAGCAGGGGAGACGCGTCACACCGAGAGGCCACATTCACACAGACGCAGAGGGGATGAGTGAGCAGCGTACGGACTGATGCTAATATACAGCTGTAGGGCCCCACCGCCGCCAAAACACGTCAGAGAGAGAGAGGGGGAGGCGATTATATGCAAGAAATGAGTCAAAAGAGTAAGAGGGATTTGTAATGAGCATAGAAGTGGGCAGAGATTCAGGGCAAGTAAAATTATGTTCACGCAGCAACCCACCTCCTCCCCATCTCTGCCTCTTCAGTGGAGGATCATGTCAAGCCTTCTTTGCCACCAGGGTCTACACCCCGGGGGGGTGGTCGCAAGCTCATAATTTCGATTAAATTCCCCCCAGTATACATCAT